AAGAGAGAGAGGAGAGAGAGAGAACGAGCGCAAGAGAGAAACAGAGCTCGAGCGCGAGTGAGCTTAACCAATGGTTAATGAATAAATTACAATGATTGATTTAAAAAAAAAGGCGGGGGGTGGGGGGCTATGGCTGTAGCTCAGTGGTAGTGTATTTGCCTAGCACATGCAAAGTCCCAGGTTCCAAGCCCAGTACCAAAACAATAAATAAGTTCCACATCCCAGAATCCATTTTTTTTATTTCTTAAAACGTTTCTGTTTTCAAGAAATTCCCTACATGAAGGGTGATAATGGGGTGGGGGGAGCAAATCAGTTTTTCTATTGTTCAGTGGGAGAAATGAGAGGCTAGGTCATTTCAAACAACTGGAAACGGAAGTACCCTTGGGAGAGAGCTCTCCTAACAAAAGAGAGCTGCATTTGAAGTGTCATGAATTGGAACTTAGCTGTCAGTTCACTGAATAAGAGGTGATAAGATGACAACATTTCAATCTAAGAAAGTGCTGGTTTCTTAAAATGATTATGAGGTCTTCTTTCTATATTTCCTAAGATGTTGATTCTAGTCAACGTATTCTGAACCAAGGCAGTAAGCCATCTGGAATTTTTTTCCCCTACATAAGACCTCAGGAGTGATCATACTAGATGAAAAATCATTGCTTTGATGGGTGTGGTAGTGCACACCTGTAATCCCAGTGACTCCAGAGGCTGAGGCAGGAGGATCCTAAATTCAAGGCCAGCCTGTGCAATTCAATGAGATCCGATCTCAAAATAAAAAATAAAAAGGGCTGGGGATATAGCTCAGTGGTAGAGTGACCCTGGGTTCAATCCAAGTAGCACAGGGAAATGTAGGAAAAAAAAAAAAAAAAGAGAAGGAAGGAAGGAAGGAAGGAAGAAGAAAAACCATTGCTTGGCTTAGAAGACAAGATGAATTCAACCCAAGATTAGTCTGGTGCCACAGAAACCCACCTCCTGTGCTCCAAAGTAGATAATGAATGCATCAAATTCAATTATTCAGCCCTAAAAGATATAGAACAATTCTGAATTCTGGGCTAGCAAAGTTTAAGCACTGGGTTTTCAAAGACAAGGGCAGTGACCTTTTTTTTTTTTTTTTTTTCCTCTTGGCTTTAGGTTTTAAGCCTTTAATCTTCACTGTCCATATTCTCTCTCTTTTTTGGGGGGAGGTGTAACCAGAGATTGAACCCAAGTGTGCTTAATCAAACTCAGCGATACCTGCAGCCCTTTTTTATATTTAGAGACAGGGTCTCACTTAGTTGCTTGCATCCTCGCTAAGTTGCTGAGGCTGGCTTTGAACTTGAGATCCTCCTGCCTCAGCCTCCTGAGTCGCTGGGATTTCAGGCATGTGCCACCTTGATCAGCACTATCTATATTCTTATCCCCACTTTATTACCATTACTACAAGGAAAGGGCATGTGATGGGTAACAAGCAAGTAACTCATTGTGACAAAGCAATTTTAATGTCAGAGCGAAACATTCATCCTTCCCTCAAATACCTATGTTTTTGATTTATAAGCTTGGCTGATCAAATCAAAGGGCAGCTGATACTCTTTCACTGTAGTATATACCTCTACTACTGGAAGCCAGGAGAGCAGGCAAACGATGAATAGAAAAAGAACTTCCTTCCATTACACATGGAAACTGTCCACTCTATCCCCTCCTCAAAGGCAGCACACTAAGACTTCAGTGCTGATGCCTGTTTCCAGGACAGGCTACTTAGGTTCTAAAATCCCCCAAATTAAATGTTCTTTACTATTCTTCCACTCCTAAAAGTCCTATGGCAACATAACTTTGACCATACAGGCTGCTCTAATCCTTCTTGAGTTCTGAGATCCTGTTCAATTTCATTCAAAAGGGCTAATTATTATGTCTGATCAAAGAGGGATCATTTACCTTAGTTGGGCCACCTTTTCTACACAAGACCAACAGAAATGAGCCTGGTACAGTGGGGCACACCTATAATCCCAGCAACTCTGGAGGCTGAGACAGGAGAATGGTAAGTTTGAGGACAGCCTCAGCCTAAGCAACTACCTCAAAGTAAAAGATAAAAAGAATTCGGGCTGGGGATGTGGCTCAAGCGGTAGCGCGCTCGCCTTGCATGCGTGCGGCCCGGGTTCGATCCTCAGCACCACATACCAACAAAGATGTTGTGTCCGCCGAGAACTAAAAAATAAATATTAAAAATTCTCTCTCTCTCTCTCTCCTCTCCCACTCTCTCTTTAAAAAAAAAAAAAAAAAAAAAAAAGAATTGGGGATGAAGCTCAATAGTAAAGTGCCCCTGGGCTCAATTTCTAGTATCAGAAAAATCAAAAAAAGACCACAGAAATGGCAATATCCCATTGTACCTGAGATAAGCACATTGGAAAGGAAAACAAAGCTCCCAGTTCAGTAATTCAAACAAGTTAAAAAAAAAACAAAAAACAAAACAAAAAAACAGAAAGCATTCACAAAGACATACTTAAAAAAAATGGATGGGTGATGTTGCAGAATGCTGTTTAGAACACAGATCACTCTCCTGCCTAGAGATGGATAGAAAAGTGTTTTTTTTTTTTTAAGTAAATAGGGAATGTGTAATTTGGGCCTCTGATTCTTTTGTTTCTGCAATACTGAAGTTGGAACCCAAGGCCTCATGCATGCTAGGCAAGTGCTCTACCACTAAGCCATGTCCCCAGCCCTGGGCCTCTGATTCTTCACAGCAGAGATTTTTGTTCTCTGATTACATATTTCCTAAATTAGAATAACTTATCAATTGGGATTGTGTTTTTACTGATGAATACTATCAATCTTCCTACTTTTCCAGCTAACTCACCAGCTGAAGAAGATTTCAATGACTGGTTTGATTAATTGAAGTTCAGGTTTTAAAAAGGGTGGGGAGAAAGGTAAACGAGGAGGATAGAAACTGGAACCCAGGAAAAATAATCTGTAAATATTTCATATTAACTGATCTCAAGAAACAGTCTTGGTCTTTGAGTACAGGAGAGACTCATTACATGGAAAGAAATTTGTTTTCTATTTCCTACCACTGGGAGAGAAAGATATGCATAAAACTCCACCAGAAATCATTTTTTTAATATTTATTTTTTAGTTTTAGGTGGACACAATATCTTTATTTTATTTTTATGTAGTGCTGAGGATCAAACCCAGTGCCTCATGCATGCCTGTCGAGCACACTACCACTTGAGCCACATCCCCAGCCCCACACTAGAAATCTTTATTGTTAAATTGGAATAAAAATTCTTGAGTTCTGTGATCCTGTTCTTTATTTATACTGCTGAGTTTCCAGAGTAAACTCTCCCTCTTTTGAGCTGATCTGGACTAGGAGTGACATCTAATCAGTGGAGTTGGTTTATGGCCAACCCTGCCTAAAAGCAAAGAAGGAGATCCAATGTTCTTGGAAAGACCCTTGCCAGCTCTGGTTTTTTATTACTAAAAAGTGGCCTTCTCTAGGGGATGACACAGAAGGAAATAATGTATTTAAGATACTCACATCGGATACCAGTAAGTGCTCTTTCATTATAAATGCAAAAAAATTAGGACTCCTTTCAAGAGTACTCCTCACCCAAAATAAGGCTAGACCTTTGAGAAACCCACTAGGGATACTAGGTCTTAAATTTTGCAAAGCTGGGTAATAATCCTACTTTCTAAAATCTAGTCATTTGTTATTGCAACTTTATTTTCCTATCATTATTTTTTTTTTAAAGAAAGGGAGAGAGAGAGAGAGAGAGAGAGAGAGAGAGAGAGAGAGAGAGAGAGTTTTTTAATATTTATTTTTTAGTTTTCGGCGGACACAACATCTTTGTATGTGGTGCTGAGTATCGAACCCCGGCCGCACACATGCCAGGCGAGCGCGATACCGCTTGAGCCACATCCCCAGCCCCCCTATCATTATTTTCAACCATGTTTTTCTCCTCCTCAAATTTACTGATTCTCCACCCATTTTTCAGCACTCAATTTTTCTGAGGTTTCTATCAGTCTGTCCTACTAACCTCCCACTCCTAACTACCACAGCTGCCCCTTGTGTTCTAGCCAAAGACATCTCTTGGCACCATTTTCCTTATTCCCACTGCTGCCCCCACACCATCCCCCACCTCCTATGTCTAGAACAGCCTCCCACTTCCATCTGCCATTTTTCTCTTGCCTCTTGATCTTACCATTGCCTCAAAACCCACCTCTCCCAAGAAGCCTCCCTTAATCAAGATGAAGGATTCTGCTCTGATGGCTACTGTGTCCCAAATTTTCAAAACATGAAATATGTTTCTTAAATAAGAGGCAATTCCCTCATAACTAACCAGGGTGATGGTGGTGGTGGAATATGTTTTCTAGAGATAAAACTATGCAAAAAAAGAAAACCATTTCCACAAACCATCCTTTTCAAAGAATGGAATTCTTCTATTTAAATTCTCTAAAAAGTATCCTTTTCACTTTTCATCCCCTATATGATGTCTACTAGCAAACTGCAAGCATATTTACATCAGTCAAAACTTTGCACTGATACTCCCAACAACCACATACTACTCATATGTTTGAATGTTAAAGGAACTGAAGAATCATTGGCTATTGGAAGTGATCTGTGCAGATTCTGCACAAATTTCTATATACGTTTTGCTTCTAGCAGAAATAAGATATCCATGAATTTGGCTTCTAATTTTACAGAAAGGTTTGACGTCCAAGTTTCAGTTGTGGTGGTGCTACTCATCCCATATCTAGTGAGTCTTGTATATGAAGCTGTTTTACTTCTGTTTTAAAAGCAGCTTTTATTGTAGGCTAGCCTTTCACCATAAGAAATTAGGGTTCAGGTCTCAGTCCAAGCAAAGCTGAGGTTAATTGCATCATCTCCATCCTCAGGGACCTGGTATCCTGGGAAACCCTGGGTAAGAACAGGGTGAGTCCAGGACACACATGTTAGGAGAGATGGTGCAGCGTGACGGGGCGGGCATCCAACACCCTAAGTGTGCTTTAGTTACCAGAATATTCGACACATCCACAAATTAAATAGCAAAAACACTTTAATCCATTAATTCTAAAAATAACAGAGACATTTTATATCCGGTGCCACCTCCTCAAAAGTCTACTACAGATCAGACAGCCACACTGCAAAGTACAAAGTCAGACATCAGAGATGCAGTTTGGGACAAGAACATCACGGGGAGATATTCCTCCTCTTTGCTTATAAACATAAGTTTCAGCTTAAAAAATCCTTAGAAGAGAGCCTTTCTCATGCTCTCAAACCTTTCTCTTTTATTCTAAATATCTCTGCAATGTCTGAAGGCAAAACAGATAATCAGCAAATAGCTCTCAAGTACAAGGATCTGAGCTAAACTCCTGGGAATAAACACTGTGGTTTGGTTTGGTTCTATTTCTACCAACACTGTGATGTGAGGTACTATGGTTCTTGTTTTAGTTACAAGAGGTGTTAGGAATAAATGCCCACTCACATTTAATAATAGCTTATCTAACACACAACTCTGCAGCACAATACCAACATAAGAGTGCTTTAAAGCAGGGTAAAGAAGAAAGCAGACATTAATACAACTGAAGGTTTCCTTTGTCCTTCCCCTCTTTTTACAATGATAATTTGGATGAAAATCAAACTCTTCAGAATGCTTACTGTCCTTTGACCCACCACATTCCAAACTTCTGACTTGTGATCCCAAGCCCTTGGAGCCTCAGGCTTTAGTGATGTATCCTTCTCGGATGAGGAAATCATAGATTTTCCGGGTTTTGTTCACGTCTATCTTGATGAGTGCTCTTGCCTGTGCCAGTCTCAAGCCTCCTTGCTTGTTACATTCGTTCAAAAGAGCAGATTTGTATTCTAAATAGGCTCCAGGGACCAACCTCACCATCTGACAGAGCTGTAAGACACAGCAAATTTAATAAACATTAACATCTGTCTTTCTCATAATTTAATCCAGCAGGTACAGCAAAAAACAAAAAAGTGACATCAACTTCAAACTATTTGTAGGAGCTGTTGAGTGGCTGGACCACATTCCACTTAGTCTGTTCCTATCTGGAAACCAACACTACCTAAGGATAGACACCCAGGAAGAAAAAAATCAGGGTGTGATGCTAGGAGAGCCTATAGCACGTGCAGGCTGGCTCAGGGGCCTGGTTCTGTTAGGAAATACATGTATGTGTTCCTGAGGAGCCTGGCTCACTCAGGTGTGGAGCATTAAATGCCTGGGTGGAGGCCCAACACCATCCCAACACTCTGTCCAGGAAGAGCCACAGAGCACAGTGGGGACAGAGTATAGGTGCTTAGATTCCCAAGTGTGAATCACATTATTGTTACTACTGTCATTAAGGAGTAGTCCCTGTTTTTGTGATTACATTTCCTACTCTGAGAAGAGGCAACTTTAACTGCTAAAAACCTAGAAAGGTTGCTCAATTCCAGTTCACCTGCCATTATCTAGCAATGAGTAGTCTGAGGTCACCATTATGTGGCTAAGGATAAAAATATTTCCAGGCCATTCAAAATTTTAATCAGAACTGGCCTGTGACTTTCTTAAGCAATATGTAGATAAAATATGTACCTCCTTCTACCTCCAAAATAATCTTTACCATTCCTGATGGATAAAACAGAACTGCACTACAATGGTTCCTTGTGACATGAGCTAATGCCACAGAATGGCAGGTGGGGGACTGATCTGGGGAACTGTAAAAGGGGTACGTGAGGAGCAGAAAGGATGCTTCTCTGTTGAAATATGGACTTCATGTCTCAGACATATCCTGTTGAAAATCTGACAAGGGCAGAGTGTGTGCGTGAGAGAGAGAGAGAGAGAGAGGGGCTCGTGAGAATGAGAGAGAGAGATATGAGAGAGATATGCTGGGGATAGAACCCAGGACCTCAGGTATGCTAGGCAAGCACTCTATAACTGAGTTACATTCCCAGTCCCACTATATATATAAAAATTAATGTGTGACCTAGGGCTAGGGACATAGCTAGTGGTAGAACCCTTACATAGCATGTGCAGAGTTCTGGGTTCAATTATCAGCACCACAAAACAAATGAATAAAGTTAATTTGTGACTATAGAAAGTGGTATACAGACAGTCCAAAAATGTTTTAAGTGAAGGTTACATCGTTGGAATAAGTACAGAACTTCTCAAAGTGACCAATCTCATAGGAAATACCTATTTTCATGTAAGTTATTTTAAGTTTATAAAAAAAACTTCATTTACATAAAGTACCTACTGTCTGACACAAAGTAAATGCTCAGTAAATAAGAATCATTATTATCTAATTGACATTATCACATGAACTTCCCCCAAAAGAGGAATGGTAGCAGGGCAAAGAAAGTTTTTTTGTTGTTGTTTGTATTTGGCACTAAGGACTGAACCCAGGGATGTTTTACCACCACATCTCCAGTCCATTTTATTTTTTATTTTGATACAGCATCTTGCTAAGCTGCTTGGGACCTCACTAATTTGCTAAGACTGCTTTTTTTTTTTTTTTTTTGATACTGGGGATTGAACCCAGGGGCACTCAACTACTGAGCCACATCCCTTCTCTTTTTTATATTTTATTTACAAACAGGGTCTCACTGAGTTGCTTAAAGCCTGGCTAAGTTGCTGAGGCTGGTTTTGAACTTGTGATCCTCCTGCCTCAGGCTCCCAAGCTGCTGGGATTACAGGTGTGCACTACCATGCCCAGCTGAGACTGGTCTTGCTTGAACTTGCAATCCTCCTGCCTCAGCCTCCCAAGTCCTTGGGATTATGGGTATGCACCACCATGCCTGGCAAGAAAAGAGCTTTCTGAAACCTACCAAGGATAGCTCCTAGACTACTGGGACACACTAGACCTGTGTACATGTTAGATGAGCAGGGCAAAATAGGCTTGATACTGTAATTTTTTTTTTTTTTTGTATATGTGGTACTGGGGTTTAACTACATCCCCAGTCCTTTATATATATATATTTTTTTTTTCAATATTTTTTTAGTTGTAGTTGGACACAATGCCTTTATTTTATTCTTTGTTATGTGGTGCTGAGGATCGAACCCAGCATCTCACACGTGCTAGGCGAACACTCTACTGCTGAGTCACAACCCCAGCCCCTAGTCTTTTATATTTGAGATAGTTCCCCAGGCTCCTAAGTAATTGAGATTACAGACAAGGGTATCACCATGCCCAGCTTTTAATAGGCTTCTCATAACAAGTAAATGAATAATCAGCCCGTATTCTCTTCCCCAAAGTCCCCTTCTTTTTGTTACCTCCTTTTCTTTTTCATTCAGCTTTTCTGTGCCAGGGAGGCCAGTGAGATTCAAGGGTGGTGCACTCCGTCTACCTACAAGACACAGGCAGGAAAAAAAACACAAAACATGTATTTCATAGGAGCAACAACTGCTCTGGTATAAAGTATAACAAAGTTCGAAGCACAGACCAGTTAGGTGTAGGATCAATACACAATCTGCACTCAACCTGTCCCTCAGGCCTGTTTAGCTAGAAACATGCACATCCCAATATTCACTTGAAAATAAAAATGAGGGACTGGAGATGTGGCTCAAGTGGTAACGTGCTAACCTGGCATGCTCCGGGTGCTGGGTTTGATCCTCAGCACCACATAAAAATAAAAATAAAGATGTTGTGTCCACCGAAAAACTAAAAAATAAATATTAAAAAATTCTCTCTCTCTTCTCTCTGTCTTAAAAAAAAAATAAAGTAAAAATGATAATTCACATGTCCTTTGCTCTGCCAAAGTACACAATCTCATATATCTTAGCATGTAATATGACTGCTCATCACAGCAGTTATGATCCATTTCTTCCTACCACATAGGAGACTAAAATCCGAAGCCCAAATGTCATTCAGTAGAAAGGACATCCACTGCCTAACTTGACAACTGATAATGGAAATAACAACTCTGCAGGAGAGACATTCCTAATCCTCCCAACTATGCCAGCAAGACAAGGTAAACATGGTAATTAACCAAATACCATGTGCCTTCAGATCAAAGGCAAACTGTTAGGCCAGCAAAAGGCCCTTCTTATTAATATGTGAGAGAATATCTGTTCCTTTCAAAGGAGCCCTGTTTACCTAAAAGATACACACACAGGAACAATAAGCCATTATATGACAAAGCAGGAACTAAGGTCAACTCACATACCTGAGAAAGAAATCCAAACAGGAGATCACTGGCCAGGCCAGGATGGGAAGTTTGAGGTGCAAGTTTGGGGTGGCAGCGGCGGGAAAGGTGGGGGTGGGGGGATTGGGTGTATTTTGAATGTATATTTGAGATTAATGTTCTAGGGGTGAATGGAGTGAGTTAGGCAAAAGAAAATGTAGAATACTATATTAACAAGTTTTATGGGGAACATCTTTTACAGAAAGAGAAGGGACTATTTTAAACTGCTCTATTGGAAAAGAGGCTCCTCTATAATATCAACAAAGGCAATAAGGGCTTACCCTAAATGCTCAAAAAAGAAGATAAAAATCATATGGCATCTCACAAGTCACCAGAGGCTGGCTACAAGCAGTGATGCCAGGCTTTCAACCTTTCATTACCTAAAGAGCAACTCCCAACAGTAAGAAAGCAGGGTCTCCTCAACCTAAATATAAGGGGTGAGGAAAACTAACGCTAGCCTAAAAACAAAAACAAAAAAACAGTGAATAAGTGAGTGCATGTGGTCAAAAAACCCCACAAATACCAAAGCTGTGTAATCATGTTAGCCAGTTCATTCATTTTAATTAGCCAGTATTAAGTATTCTGTATTTAGATTGCATGGAAGGACTGGAAATAAGAAAATTAGAAAATAAAACATGGATTTCATTGTCTTGACAACTCCCTAAATGGCTTCTTTTCCTCTTTTAAGTATTCAGAAATAATTTACTTAAAACAAAGGGGGGGAAATATTATTCATCAAAGAGCCTTATCTGAGCCCTATCTAGATTCTGAATATCATAAATAATTTAGCAAAGTACATTGTTGGGAGCTTTCAAAGAATGGTAAAAGAACAAATTATTATTATTATTATTATTGGTGCTGGGGGCCTTGTACATTCGAGGCAAGCACTCTACCAACCTGAGCTATATCCCCAGCCCCATGAATTGCCTTTTTTTTTTTTTTTTAAACATTTTTATTTTTTAGTTCTTGGTGGACACAACATCTTTGTTTGTATGTGGTGCTGAGGATTGAACCCAGGCCACATGCATACGAGGCGAGCGCGCTACCGCTTGAGCCACATCCCCAGCCCCATGAATTGCTTTTTTTTTTTGAATTTTTAATATTTATTTATTTATTTAGTTCTCGGCGGACACAACATCTTTGTGTCTTTGCCACATCCCCAGCCCCCATGAATTGCTTTTTGACTACTCTATTCCTACTCAGTGGAATGGTCTGTATATTCTTATTAGGAGAAATGGCTATCTATCTACTATGGAGTAGAGGGAGATGATAACTAGGAAAACAGGCAAAGAAACACCACAATCTTGGTTCAGAGCAACACAAGTAATACCTTCCCAAATCCCTAGTCATTGATTTCCAATCACCAAGAGCATCAGACAGCATATGGCTTAATCTTGCTTTGTAAAACTAATCTCAAAAATAGGACATACCCAAAGAGTTAAAGTTTAGAAATAGAAATACATAAAGTCTATCACTTATAAAAAGCCTGAAGTTTCTGGCAAGTAACATGTTTCTTTCCCCATATCAGAAAGATTTTTAACTTATCTTGTATGAGATGCATCTCAGAATCTGTGGTAGATACAACAGCAGTAAACAGACTGTGAAAACTAGTAAAACAAAGAAGCTACCTTTCTAGAATCCTTTCTTCACCTGTCTTTGTACTCTGGTTATAAATTAGCCTAACATTTGATTACTATTAATCCACTGAGAAGAGGAGGACTGCTGGATCACCTCTCAAATACAAACTTCACAATCAAGACTTACCTGGGGCTGGAGGCTGCTAAGTGGTAGAGAGCTTGCTTATCATCCACAGAGCCCTGAGTTTCATCCCCAGCACCAAACATACAAAAAAGACTTGCCTGGGAAATAATTACCTGAATTCGAAGCCATCGGAATGGAAGGAGTCAGCCCAGAATCACTAAAACAAAGAAAAGGAATTTAAGCTTAGGTCATATCAAAGAAGGCAATTTCCAAAAGTCCCTATGGGACTTTATCAGGAAAGTCACTTTGAAAAGATATAATAAGATAAACTACATAATGTTTTATAGGATACCTTACTATACTGACCAGGAAAGAAAATCTCTTCTGAGGGAAAAAAATTCCTTGGATTGGCTAAGGAAAGTTTGTTAGTTTGTATGAAATAAGAGCTCTTAGCATGGAACATCCCAACAGCATTCATGGAGAAGAGAAAGGAATGTGATTTTCAATGCAAATCATACAAGGAAAAAAAAAAAGGCACAGGTGGAAAGCTAGGCAGAACATACTAATTTTTAAAAATAAGATTACAATAGGAAAGTAGGATTGCAGGAGGCCCAGTTGTTTCTTAATTGTCAGTGCTGTACTATTTCTGAGATGAACTTCTAAAATCTTTTTGAAAACAACTGGGGAGCAGGAGGGTAATGGGGATTGAATCCAGAGGCACTTTACCATTGAGCCATATCTCCAGTAAATAAACAGAATATCCACAACAGTAAACAGACTGTGAACACTGGTAAAACAAAGAAGCCTTTTTGTTTTTTATCTTGAGATAGGGTCTCAGTAAGTTGCTTAGGGCCTCAAACTTGTGATTCTCCTGCCTCAGCCTCTCAAATCATTGGGATTACAGGGGTACTCTACTGGACCCAGCTGAATTTTTTTTTTCTTTTTTAATTATGGGACCCGTCATTACATATTTGTATATACACACAATATAACAATATAATTTGGCTAATATCATTCCCTAGTATCTTTCTGAATTCTTTTAGCTACCCAGATTTTATTACTTAGCCATCTCAGGTGCCCACAGAATCTGAAACACATGTGAAGCTAAAGTGTTCCAGAAGGAGTGCTTCCCCACCCAGGTCTTGAATTGCTCACATGTCAGCTTGCCGACGGAGCCACTGTTGGCAGGCACTACTGTCCTGGATGTACTGGAGAACTTCAGAGAGCATGGTGCGTTTAAGGCGTTCTTCTTCTCTCGTCTTCTTTAGGTGATCATACGTTCTGGCACCTGGAGGTGTAGAAAACACCATGACCACAACAACAATGCAGCAGAACGCAAGGGCCTCTTAACCAATCAGCAAACAAAAAATCTTTTTTTTTTTTTCTGCAAAACTGCATTCACTATTATTATTATTATTGAACTGGGGATTAAACACACGGTCATTTTATCCCCAGTCCTTTATTATGAACATAATAATTTTATTTATTTTTATATGGTGCTGGGGATCAACTCAGGGCCTCATATGTGCTGGGCTCTACCACTGAGCCACACCCTCAGCACTACCACCCCCAGTCCTTTTTAAAAAAATATTTTTGAGTTATACATGGACACAATAACTTTATTTTGTTTAATTTTATGTGGTGCCGAGGATTGAACCCAGTGCCTCTCACGTGTGAGGCAGGCTCTCTGCCAGTGAGCCACAACCCCCGCCCCCGCCTAATCCTTTTTATTTGTTATTTTGACAATAGGGCCTCACTAAAGTTGCTGAGTCTGGCCTCCAACATGCAATCTTTCTGCCTCAGCCTCCTAAGTAGCATGTACCGCTGTGCCTGGCTAATTTTACATTTCCAAAATGGTTTCTGTTGTTAAAAATAAAGACTATTACACTTGAACTTATATCCATAGAGCTATGTTAAGAAGCTAACTACTTTTTATTTTTATTTATTTAAATATTTATTTTTTAGTTGTAGTTGTACACAATACCTTTATTTTATTTATTTTTATGTGAGCTGAGGATCAAACCCAGGGCCTCGCACATGCTAGGTGAGTGCTCTGCCACTGAGCTACAGCCTCAGCCAGCTACTTATTATTTTTTGAGACAGGGTGTTGCTAAGCTGCTGAGACTGGCCTTGAATTTATGATCTTCTTGTCTCAGTCTTCTGAGTTGCTGGTATTACAGGCATGCACCACTGTACTGGGCCATAGCTACTTCTTGTGTGTAGTGGATGATATCTTTTAATTACCACAGAAACTTCAAATATGCAGAAGAAAGGAATGCTATAGATCACTCCAACAGCAATAGTAAAACAACAGAAAACAGCCTGTATATGCGCTGGAGTTGTGGCTCAGTGGTAGAGTGTTTGCCAAGTGTGAGGCACCGGGTTCAATCCCCAGCACCACATAAAAAACAAACAAACAAAAAAACTAAACTAAATAAAGGTATTGTGTCCATCTACAAATAAAAATATTTAAAAAAAAAAAAAAAAGAAAGAAAATAGCCTTTATTAAGGATTTGCTGTGTGCCAGGTGCTATGTTTTTCCATACAATCTTTCTCTTTCTCTCTCTCTCTCTGTTGTAAAGGGATTAAACCCAGGGGCACTTAACCACCAAGCCACATCCCCAGCCCTTTTTTAATTTTTTGAGACAGGGCCTAGCTAAATTGCTGAGGCTGGCTTTGAACTTGTGATCCTCCTGCCTCAGCCTCCCAAGCCACTGGAATCACAGGCATGTGACACTTTGCCCAGGCACACAATCTCTAATTTAGTCTTCATTCTAAGAGACTCAGAAAATGAAAACCTGAACAGAATTACAGAGTCAGTAAACAGTGGAGTCAGAATCTAAACCTAACCTGACTAGTTTTTTTTTTTTTCTGTGCTGGGGATCAAACCCAGAGCATCACATAGGCTAGGCAAGCACTCTATCACCAAATTATCTGAGTTATATCCCCAGGCGTAAGCTGTATGGTTTTAACTGCAGTAATACACTGCCTTCCCATACGACCTGGCTTTACTGTTAACTTGATCTTGAAACTTTAGTTTCTTCATTAAACAGAAGTAACAGTACCCCATAAGTTTGTCATGAGACACTAAATGACATGATGCATCCTACATCTAAAGCACCACTCTCTTTTCTATGTGTTATGACTTTTATGCTACCTCAGATAATCTATATAATGATATTTATAGGGATTTAACAGATGAAACTTTTCTAGAAAGATTGAAAATTCATTCTGAAAAAGAAAAGCTTAATTTAAAAAAATCACAACCCCTTTGAGAATCCCTGCAAATAAAGATGCCCTTTTTATATACTTACTACAAAAATTGGTAATGCCTGCTGTCCTATATTCCTGGAGCCGCTTGATTTCCCTTCGAAGTTCAAATTCCACTGTTTTCCCCAAAGAACAAAGAAAAAAAAATTTGAAAAACAAAATCAACATCAATAAGTACTTCTGCTGTTAAGCATTTTCAGTAATTCTTGTCTTACATAAAAAGCTGGGCAATTTCATCTAGGGAATCCTTTTTATTGATAATCTTTTATTAGAAATTTACCCAAAAACTGAGAAAAGCCTACTCTAAATGTCTCAAGCTGCCATCTCCAAATGCAGTAGCTGGAATTTTTTTTTTTTTAAATTTTCTCCTAGAAAACTTAAATTGGCTGAATTCATGTGTCCCCCAAAGTAATGAATATAATTTGTTAAATAACCAAGCTTTCCTGGTCTATCTATTCTCTCTCAAAATTTTTACTCATACAACCAAGTTTGTGAAACCCATCTCTGGTATTACTTGATGTTGCCCTAATGCAAAAGAATAACAAAAGTTCTCTACTCAAGTCCCAGTTAGTTTCTTTACAGCTTTTCTCCTATAGGGACAAAAGAGCATTGTGTTTTCCATAAACCAAAGATTTCTGCCTCCTCTGAGAACACAGATCAGGTTGCACTGCTCATGTTATTATGTGAAAGGGCATTCAAACTTGGGTGCTTTTGAAACAGAGGATGAAGGAAAAGCCTGGACAATTCATGGGGTGTAGTTCTTTGGAGTGACACATAAACCAGGGATGACACAAACTGGGACAGGAAGTAAAAGATCAGTCACTGAGAATGCCAACCAGACAAGGTGTTTGCTGAGGACAATCAACCTGGCTCAGATAAATGCCTGTGATGCTTCCTAAGAAATATTTGCGTGAAACAGGGTAAGAGCCCTGGCAAAGAACCACCCAGAACAAAACTAAAGGGCCAAATAGATTTCATAATAAAAAGTGTAGAAAAGTCAGCCAGTCCATTCTGTCTTAGGTTAGGCCTTACTGACCTCACTTCAATTTTTTTTTAGTAAAAAATCAAAATATAAAATGGATGACCTCCCTCCAGAATACCAAAGAAAAGCAAGAGAATGATGGAAGTACAATTTCCATGAGTCATCCAACTCTGTTCCCATTTTTGGTACTGGGGATTGAACCCAGGGGCTGGCTATTAATAAATGAGCAACAATCCCAGCCCTTTTTAAAAATTTTCATTTAGAAACAGGGTCTCCCTAAGTTGCTGAGATTGGCTTTGAACTTGGGATCCTCCTGCCTCAGCCTCCCAAGCTACTAGGAGTACAGGTGTGCGCCACCACACCCGGCTTCAGCCTCCCATTTTTAAAACTACTTTTTTTTAAATGTTTATTTATTTTCTTAGTTGTAGTTGGACACAATTCATTCATTCATTCATTCATTCATTCATTCATTTATTTATTTTTATGTTGGGCTGAGGACTGAACTCGGCTCCCGCCTGTGCTAGATGAGCACTCTACCACTGAGCCACAATCCCAGCCCCTTAACATCCCTTTTCTTGCTCTCACAGTTCCAAATTTATTTCAATAATAATAAAGGGGAGTAGAAACAGACATATCCATGTTATTTACTTCACATAAAACACACACACACACACACACACACACACACACACGTTCATTAAGGCTCAAAAACCACCTACATGCATGGCTTTCAATGAACTTATCATGTTCCACTGGACCCACAATCCTTGCAAATCGCCTCATTGTTTCATAAAGGTCTTGAACCTCCTTGGGATAACGCCGTTCCATTACTACAGAGAAAGTAAAACATAACTGTGTCATTGGAGAATGTACGGATTCCCAAGTTGGCCACATTTTTCTCCCCCTCACAGAAGTGAAATGGAAGAACATTATTCCTGACCTCATATGACTAATTTACCCATGACAGGAAGCAAACAGAAAAGCTAAGAATGCAAAATACTAATCATAGTGACTGCTTCACAGCATCTCCATAAGGATTATCACTGGAGATCATCTCCATCACTAAGCACTAGTGACTTCTCCCACCCCACTGTCTTTTATCTGCACAGGCAATGCTATAGTAATGGGAAAAGATTAATGGTAGATCTTGCATTCTCAGAAACATGTTGGCTAAAATTTCTGGAATTACTACCCAACAGGATAACTAGGAAATTGCAGACACAGAATCTATCGACAGATTAGCCTAGAAAAGTATGTTCTTGCTCACATGACCCTTGTGAAATCTCCCTGTCTAAAAATATTCAGGTGAGGTATATATTTCTTCATTGCCCATAGGGGTTACTTTGCCTTTCTCCAGACCAAATTAACTAGTTCACCTTAATTAACCAATGAAGTTATATTTTGACAATTATCATGCAAATAAATGGTCACATATCCAACAGAGCCAGGAGCAGCAACTCTGGGGATCTCTTTTGATCAAATCTCTAATCAAAAGAGTAATATTTACAAAGATGACGAGGAGTAAAACCAATCAACAACTGGTAAGTTGATGTGGCCAGGAGCTCTGATTGCTTTTCAGTGATTTTAACCATATTCAGTAGTAACTAGGTCAGCGCTCGCGCTCTCTCTCTCTAAAAATTTTTGGTGCTGAGAATTGATCCAGGGCCTTGTGCGTGCAAGGCAATCACTACCAGCACAAATGTATCCCCAGCCTAGTTCAGTCTACTCTTGAAGTAAAGATAATTTTTCACATATGACAGTTATTTAAATTGCCTTTATTTTAGATGAATTTCTTCACTTAGAAGACACATTCTTATCTACTTCACTTAGAAGAGACATTCTTATCTACTAATTCCAGGAGTTTGTTTTAATTTTTTTTTTTTTTTCTTTTTGGTGGTACTAGGGACTGAACCCAGGGCTTCATGCTTGCTATGCAAGCACTCTACCATGGAGCTCCAGCTCCAGCCTTCCATCTTATTAATTTTTATTTTGGGACAAGGTCTCACTACATTGCCCAGGCTGTCCTCAAACTTTCAATCCTCCATCCTTAGCCTCCCAAGCAGCTAGGTAGGTGTGTACCACCATGCCTGGACTAGGAGCTGACTGAATAAATACAGACTGATTATTTCTTTCTTACTACCAAACAAAAACAAAACAGAAATCCCAACTCATAACAAGGATAACAACAAAGAATCTGAAATGAAATTGGAAAAATAACTTTTTTTGTTTTACCTTTACTTCTGTGTATATTTGAAAATGCCCATAATAAAAAGTAGGGAGAAAAACTACCAAGCTATCATTTTTTTCTGGGGGCGGAGGGAGGCCATTAAGCTTTTTTACCCTCCTTTCCCTTGCTCTGACAGTTCCAAATTTATTTCATAAAAATAAAGGGGAGCAGAGACAGTAGTAGATTTTTTTCCTCCAGTACTGGGATTGAAACCAGGCTTTACACATGCTAGGCAAGTGCGCTACCACTGAGTTATATCCCCAGCGCTTTTTATTTTATTTTGGAATAGGTCTTTTTTTCTGTGTTCCTCCTATCTGTTTTCCAAGTAGCTAGGATTACAGTTGTGCACCACTTTGTCCAGCTGGAGTAAATCTTTAAGATCTGAAGGGAAAGAACCTTACCCATCATACTAAGGTCACTTGTATATTCAATATAACTGCAACTGGCTACCTCTGAAACCACAAAACACATGCTACTTCTAAATGCTCAGAATCAGCTTCCCCTTGGTCTTATTCCTGGAAAAACTATAGTAACAGAACAATAAATCCAAACTGACCTGTCCACCAGTTAAAATTGGATTTATGTAACAGGAAATTTCATGAGTAAAAGTCAAAACTTAACTGATCTATATGAAAAACCCAGTAATTCAGATAGAGAAACTCATTATTGTGTCTACCAGAACACGGATAATTATTGTCTATAGAAAAAGCATGGGAAATCTGATCCTGAATTATTTTTGCAAATCCATAGTTCTTGTTTTGGAAGGGGATACAGCGGGGGCTGGAGATTGAGCCAAAGACACATTTAGCATGAAGTAACATCCCCAGACTTTTTTATTTTTCACTTTTAAATGGGGTCTTACACCAGGTGCAGTGGTGCATGCCTGGAATTCCAGCCACGAGGGAGGCTGAGGCAAGAGGATCATATGTTCAAAGCCAGCCTCAGCAAAAGTGAGGCACTAAGCAACTCAGTGAGACCCTGTCTCTAAATAAACACAAAATGGGGCCAGGGATGTGGCGCAGTGGCCTAGTGCCCGAGTTCAATCCCCAGTACTCCCACCCTGCCAAAAAAAAAAAAAAAAAAAAGATGGGGTCCCACTAAGTTGTTTAGAGTCTTGCTAACTTGCTGGGACTGGCTTCAAATTTGAGATTTCCTGCCTCAGCCTTCCAAGCTGCTGGGATTACAGGTTTGTGCCACCACACTGGACTGCAAATCCACAGGTCTTGATGAGGATAGAATTAAATAAGTAATCTAATACTACAAGAAGGAATATAAATTGATATAACCTCTTTTGAAAGCAATCTGGCAACATGCACCAAGATTTTTTTTTTCTTTTTAATTTTTAGTTGTAAATGGACATAATACCTTTATTTTATTTACTTATTTTTATGTGGCACTGAAGATCAAACCCAATGCCTCACATGTGTAAGGTAAGTGCTCTACCACTGAGCTACAACCCCAGACCAAGAATTATTAATGATTCTATATTTGTGACCTATTAATTCTACTTTAAGGAATCTACCTTTAATAATAGGACTAGGGATACTATAGCTCAGTGTGCAGTGTATGCCTAGCATGCATGAGGTCCTGGGTTAGATCCCTACCGGTGCAAAAAAAACAAAACTAAAAAACCATTAAACATTCATAAATAGAGCCAGACACAGTGGCACAAGCCTATAATCCCAGTGCCTCAGGAGGACGAGGCAGAAAGATTGTTAAGTGAGAGGCCAGCCTCTGCAACTTGACAAGAGTGTCTGAAAATTTAAAAAGAGCTAGGGGTTGCAGCTCAGAGGTACAGCACCCCTGGAATTCAATCCCTGGTTCAAAAAAGAAAAAAGAAAAACCTAGACAGAGAACAAATAAGTTCATCATAGCATTATTTATGTAATGATTCAAAAAATGTGAAAACAAGCTAAACATTTAGAAATAAGTGATTAAACACACAATTGTATTACTTTATATATAACATTCTGACTATGTAAAGTAAATAAAACACCATAATAACTTGAAAAATGTATAAAGTACCAAAATAAAGGCATAAGATGTAACATTCTTATGACCACAACCATATTTTTAAAAAATTATATATAAATTATTTAGATTGAAAATGCACTCAACCTGTCTGACTGGCTAACTTGACCCTTTCAGTGCCACAGTGTCCAAGAGACACCTATTGAAGATTCTACCAAATAAGACTTTTACAAAAAGAGTATTATGACACATAACCATTATAAACATTCTGAACACTACAATTATTATTATGAAAGTATTATTATTTCCTGAACAGACTCTACATTGTAGAAAAAAAAGTACTGGGGCTTTTTCTGCCAGTTTAAGTTCCTCCATTATTTAAAACTGTAAAATTTAAGTTAGCAATTCATTTCAAAAGCCTTTATTTACTATCATCATCACACAATGTTAAATATCTTTTTTATATACCACCATGCAAAATGAAAGCATCACTTTCTATTGATGTTTCTATAAAAATAATTTTATAACCTTTGAGGATAAAGGTTATTTTATGTTTAACACATTGTTTCAAAACATGACAAATCTAGAAAATGATCATTTTTCCATGCTGTAATTACTACACTAGTGTAAAAAATTCTCATGTTAATGTTTTGACTATAAATTAATAGTTCTTTATTATCACTATAGATCAAAATGGCCTTGAAGACTTTTATATTTCTTTTGGTGCTAGAAACTGAATACAGGGCCTTGCACATGCTAGGCAAGTGCTCTACCACCAGTCCTGTATCAGAATTTTTTAAATCGTCCTAGGTGATGCTAACATGCAACTTGAATTAAGAACTAGTGCTATAAATGATCTGTTATAATTTGGTATAAGTATTTGTTAAATGATTTGTTAAAGCTATTCAGTAATATTAGAAGAAATTAGAAAAAATAGCCAATACTTACATTGAAATTTTCTAAGGTTGATTAATCCATGATCTCTTATAATTCTAGAATAAAAAACCATAATAATCTCTTTTAGAATAAGTTTCACATTTAATGTTTTTCATATGCAGCTTTTGTTAGACATCTTAAAACACTCTGAGGTAGAATACAGAGATCCAAAAGAGTCGCTCCCCACAAAATTCTGCAATCAGTGAATCACTAACACAATTTTAGGCTCTCCAGCATCACACATTTTCCCTCTTCTTTGGCGTTGGAGACTCTAAAAAGCTATTTGCTAGATAAATGAATCAATTACCACTCACAAATACTGAAAAATATGTGTCTGTCACTTAAGATGAACAGAAGGAAATCTGAGTCCACATTATACAATTAATCTATTCAGCTTGTGGAAATGTTAATTGAGAATACTCATTCAAGGGAAACTTGCTAACCATAAAAAGGCACCATGATCACACATTCAACATTTACAACTGTGCATTCATAACAACACTTTGAAGCTATTTGAAATAAGTATATATTGTGCATCTTTAATGGAAGGGCATCATAAAACATAAGATCTAACAGCACCTCTCAACAATTGAGTTCTTCAATACTCTCTAGGTCTAATTATGTGTTTTAAGCAAAGGAGAATTTAAGTAAACCACACAGGGTTATTCTTCTGGAACCTTTATTTATTCCAGAAGAATTCATGACTAGCAATGAAACATCTCATGGAAGTAGCTGGGTAAGCTTCTTCAGTACTTCTTGGAAGCTGACTCCAGCCAGGCAGAGAGTAAACTTCACTTTAGATCACATCTGGTCTCTCAGGAGTGCCTCCAACTACTCCCTCACATTTTTATTGCTGATACCACTATGTTTATACTTAGTAATATCTCAACATACATGCCTTCACATATACACATACCTGCACACTCACACCCTCTGCAAATCCCTCTCAGAACTGGTAAGTCTCTGTAATCCAGTGTGTGTATGTATGTGTATATTTTTAGTTCAGGGATTGAACTCAGAAGTGCTTTACCACTAAACTACATCCCCAGTCCTTTTTAATTTTTTATTTTGAGACAGAGTATCGCTGTCCTAGAATTTGCAATCCTCCTGGCAAGTCATTGGTACAGGTATGTATCACCATGCCTTGCTGAATGTGTAAATATATAAAAATATGTAATTTATATTTATATATTTATATTGTATATTTATATAAATACATATATATGTATATTTATATATATGTTTTTTGTACTGGGGATTGAACTCAGGGTGCTTAACCACTGAGCCACATTCCTAGAACTTTATATATTTTATTTAGAGACAAGGTCTCACTGAATTACTTAGGGTCTTGCTAAGTTGCTAAGGCTAGCTTTGAACTCGTGATCCTCCTGCCTTAGTCTCTCCAGTCACAAGGATTACAGGCATGCGTCACCATGTTTGGCATGAATATGTGTGTGTGTGTATGTTTTAACTATTTTTTTTGTTGTAGACAAACACAATACTTTTATTTTATTTATTTATTTTTATGTGGTTCTGAGGATTGAAACCAGTGCCTCACACATGCTAGGCAAAGGCTCTACCACCTGAGCTACAATCCCAACCCCTGAATGTATATTTTTGACATACTGTGAAGGGAAGCAAAACCAGGGTGCCTGAAACTTGTTCGGAACTTCTTTGTAATCCTTTTAAATGAAAGACTTCTCATAAAATTACAGTAGTAAGAATGAGGGCATTAAAAAGAATATAATGACTAAACACTTTGAATTGATATTATTCTTTTTTTCCTAAGAGCTTAAAACCCTGTAACCACATTATTCATGTTTTATCCTAACATCAACAAAGGAAGACATAAAAATAAGATAATACTATATCCATCTGACAAATGAAAAATTGAGGCTCAAGGAGAATAAATGTCTTCCCCAAAATCACAAGATGAGCCACAGTGAAGCATTCTTATAGACCATATGCAATCAAACAATCCAAAGCTGAAAGAAGGCAGGATGGTTTTTCTGTACTTACTTTTTTCGTCTCTGTCTCTCCTTTAACCTCGAATGATAGATATCCACCACAGCCATCTTCAGAGCTATAAATAAATACATATATAATAAAAATTATATAAGTTATAAAAAATCAATCTTTTACCCAAACTGTAAACCTGAAATTTCTAACAATTCCATACTCACTAGTTTGGAAATATGTCCACTAAAAGCACAAAAATATCCTAGCATTCTGAAATTCTCTAATGATAAATTATGAAGAAGTTCTTTTTCCCTATGTATTTAGTGTATGGCAGTACTCTGTAGACTACATTTTCTCCTTTCTACTACACATCTCTTTTGCTAGGTATAGTGGCACATGCCTATAATCCCAGCTACTCAGCAGGCTAAGGCAGGAGGAACACAAATTTGAGGCCAGCCTAAACAACTTAGCAAGACTGTACCTCAAAATAATAAAATAAGAGAAGGGCTAGGGATGCAGCTCAGTGGCAGAGAACACTGGGTTCAATCCCCAGTACCACACACAAAAATACATACATACCTCTTTTAGACATTTATTATGTATATTACTACATACAGTGAAATGTTAAAACTATGGCAGTATATGGGCTAGAAATTACATCAATAAGAGTAATCTTGGGAACCTAGGATCTCACAAATGCTAGGCAAGCGCTCTTCCACTAAGTTACATTCCCCAATCCAAAAATGAATATTGATGAATTGTGTTTTAACTGTACAGGACTAAGCTCAAGAGACAATGTTAAGACAGAACTAATGTTCAGTACAGACATTTTTCAGAGTAGTAGCAACTGTTTAGGGTGGTAAGGTTCTGCTTTCTGTAATGAAAAGATACATTAAGTAGCCTAATCACAGTGCATCTCCACATAATGTACATCCACAGGACTGGGACCCTAATTAGAATAAGACATACTTAATGTTTGTATAAATATGTCAAAATATACTCTACTGTTATGTATAATTAAGAAGAAAAAAATTTTTAAAGTAACCTAATCAATGTAAAAGCCATGCCCTACTTGGCTAACCATTTCCAATCCTTTCCTGCCTTTAGCCTCATAAGTGGAAAAGAGGCAGTGGATATTGTAAGTTTTAATCAACAGTTCCAGTTTTTCCTTTCCTTGTCCTCTTTTTTCTTCTATCCTAATTTCTCTTTTCACTTTATTCTTATATTTCTATGATTCCTAGAATCATATGCTCTCAAACTCAGTATCTATTTGAAGCTTTAGATCTTATTGGATACTTCTAGTCACATGGCCTTTATAGTTGCAAATTTGTATTTGTATTATAGTTGCAAATTTGTATTCACCCCTTGCCCATCCTCTTACCTTGGTTGTCTAAGCCAAAAATCAATGTAGGCTCTCCCTTCCCCTTCTCTTCATATATGGTCAATCTTATCTAAATATTTGTCTCTCAAATTCATTTCTTCACTCTTAATCCCATGCCTTAACTCAGGCCTCTTTTCTCTTGTCATCCTGATGCCATCTTGTAGGAGGCATTATAACACTTTGTTCCTGCTTTATTCTAACTCACCCCCTCCAAATGGTGCCAGAGTTATATTTTACAGAACAATCCATGGTGCAATTCCCCTGCTTGAAATTCTCTAGTGGCTACCCATCCACTTCAAGAGTACAAACTCTTACATATTATACAAGGCCTTTTACTGTCTCAATACTGCCTACCTTTACCAGTCTTGTTTCCTACCATTTCCTCATAGGCCCTATACACCACACACACAAAAACACCAGGCCAAGATCACATGGCTACTGAGTACAGATAAACTGGATGGCCTGGTTCCAAGGCTGTGAGTAGGAAAAAAGAAATTGCCCCAGTATGTTTACTTTTAGTGGGCTTACTTTCTCCATATTAGTCCCACATTCTAGCTTTGCGTTGACTAAAAATAAAATATATATTAAAAAAAAAAAACTTGAGAGGCAGAAAATTACCACAGGCCATTTATAATCAAAGGATCTCTAGGCTTAAAAAATGAAGACCAATTATTAACAACTCCTGAAGAAATTTTGAGTACTGTACTATGGTACATTAAACCATTTATCTCATCTATGGATTCTGAAAGCATGTTAAGATTTAATGAATTTTTAGAAGATTCTGGAACTACATTAACAACTTCCTGTTTCCTTAAGGTTTGTATAATTTGAGAGTTTGGTATTTCATTTTTATTATTGATTGTATTCACAGAAGAAAGATCCTAGAGCACAACACATTATCCAAATATTAGGTAATATAATTCCTAAAAAAAAAACCACCAGACTTTGTAGCAAAGAATTTGGCTGTGTATGAGAATCACTTCTTTCAAGATAGGAAGCTTCTTTTCAAATTATAGCCTAGAGCCTCTGAAATGCTGATAACTCAGAACAATAATGTAATCTCATCCTGCTCTAAAGAGTACAGAAATCCAAGTTCAAGTTCAGCCCAGTGGACGCCATGAGTCATATTCTATGACAATAAGTTTTAAACATTGTTTTGAACAAAACATTATGTGAACTACTAAGTCAGATCTACTCTTGCTAGATCTCTTACTCTAGCCCCAACTATCTTGACTAGCAGAAGTCTTTACTGGAAAATTAGACTTTAGGGTAGAGAGGAAAAAGGGGAGAGGGCTCTAATTAAAAGAACAACACACAATGGCTTATAAGAATCACAATTTTGCCTGGCGTAGAAGTACATGCCTGTTAATTCCAGCAACTCGGGAGGCTGAGTCAGGGGGATTGCAAGTTCAAATCAAGCCTCAGCAAAAGTGAGGCACTAAGCAACTCAGTGAGAACCTGACTCTAAATAAATACAAGATAGGGCTTGGGATGTGGCCCTGTGGCCAAGTGCCCCTCACTTCAATCCTTGGTGCTTGGTGCCAAAAAAAAAAAAAAAAAAAAAAAAAAAAAAACCAAAACCCCACCTATTTCTTTTATTATGTGAAAATGAACAAAAGTTATTACACATGTACAATTCTCAAAGGCTGTCAATACGGTACCCTGGCAAGATAACAGAAATAAATTCTGGATAATCCATATAAATATTTTACTGTGCATCTTGCCACTACCTGTCCTGGAGATGTTCTTAGATTAGAAAGTTCCATACCCAAATCTTACATGCTGGGCTTTGAGGAAATGTGCTATATATAAATGTAGCTTCAATCACTGAAAGATGTCCAGGAATACTTGTATCCAGGCCATTCTCCTGTGGGTCAGAGATTTTTAAAAAATTTAAAAATTTTAAAAAATAACCTAAATCTTAGCAGGATAATCTGAAGAGATGAGTGAATGCAACCTTTAAAAAAAAAAAAAAAGTTTAAGTATTAAAAAAAAAAAAAGAGCTACCATGGATTCTTTTTCTTTGTTTCTAACAAGTTCAAAGATTTAAACCACAATGGTTGATTTATCCTCATAAGTGCCAACAAATGAAAAATATTTCAATGTTATCAATCTTAAGATTTAAGGTAATGGTTTTCAAACTCTTTTTCAGGTAGTAAACTCCTTCTACAAATGATATCTTTCTTTCTTTTCTCTTTTTTTTTTTTGAGGCAGAGTCTGGCTAAGTTGGCCAAGCTGGCCCCAAACTTACTAGCCTCCTGCCTCAGCCTCCTAAGTAGCTGGACAGGCATGTGACACCATGCCAGGCCATAGGACATCTTTCTTGATTATGGGGTTGTTCCATATAAAACTCCTGATACCACAGAATGCCCTATGTTTTACCTGTTTTACAAAACAATTGCTGTGGAATGGAGATGCACTTTATGTGCCACCATGGTGGAAAAATGAAGAGTAAAAGAGTCTCTAACATACATTATAACCAAATACAAATTTTATAGACTTTGTTTCTTACTAAAAGGGAAGAATTGGGAAGTCAACAGTTCAAGGCAGGAAGGAAAACAAACACAGTAGTATTAGCTAAAATAGCTGAGAACTTCTTATGTTTTAGGCTTTTTTTAAAAAATAGATTTTTAGTTGTCAGTGAACTTTAATTATTTATATGCAGTGCTGAGAATTGAAACCAGTGCCTCACACATGCTAGGCAAGCACTCTACCACTGAGTCACAACCCCAGCCTGATGTTTTAGGCTCTTTATATACCTTATTTGTCTGCTCAATAAAATAAATTCAATAGAAAATAAATGTCTAAAGATCCAGTGGGAATTTTGCTAAAACATTTTGTTTAATTTAATTTCTATAATTTTTCTAAGACACTAACTTTACCATGTTGCTTTCTGAGATTTGTGTGGGAATGGCTTAATTAAAAAAGAAAAAAACCAAAGTGACTATATTACCACACACACACACAAATCTATAAATAAATATTGCCAATGATTAGTTCTACTGCTTGATCACATCAGTAGTTTAAACTTGTTCAACTGGCTTTAGAAGACAAAAGGTGGGAAAGAATGCATAGAGACAAATGGGAGGGAAACTGAAATTCTCCCAGAAAAAAATTCATATTTGAAATTCTCGTTTTCTTTATAAAGCACACTCAGATAGCAGCAACTGATTTCAAAATCTTGGCTGCATAAATAATCCAGGGAAGACCTCAGCACAGTAGGCAGAATAGAAGCAAGAAAGCAAACTAAGAATGAGAATCAGGGATTGGTTCATGTTCGTTTAAAGTGACTGGAAGCTCCAATTCAAGCTGGCAAATAAAAAACAAAGATCATTAAACATGAACAACCAAAACTACCCATAACCTATCCACTGATAGAAGGCCTCTGAAATCTCAGCTTTGGGGGAAGAACAGTCTCTCTGTGATTACACTGAGGACTGATAAAGTTTCCCATCGGCTGGCCTTAAAATATTTCAAGAAGTGGGCAGAAGACAGAGGCAGCTCCTTCCCACTGCAATGTATTTCTAACATTGTTCAAAATAGCTGGCAACATGTTTCTGTTTTCTTGACAGAAGGCACTTACTGCTTGCTTGGCAAGAAAATCAACTCAGAGGCTTTAACTTCAGGAAAACCAATCAAAATCCTAATTGCAGCCACATAAGCACAAACCTGTGACTCAGGTATTCCCCAGAAGCAAAGCTTTTAAAGAAAAGTCATTATCCTCTGAGCTTTTAGCCAAGATA